CGATGGCCTCCAACCTAAGAGCGATGGCCTCCAACCTAAGAGCGATGCCTCCAAATCTGGTTTCCACTCTAGCAGCGATTGCCTCCACCCCCCTTTGATTTTTGTTCCTGGTTTCGTATGGTTTCGAGTTTTGACCGTCCACAGCCCCACAGCTGCACAGCGGCTTTTGACGAAACCTCTTCGCAATCCTTATCTTTTTGCAATCTTTGTTTTCGGACCGTACACGGAATGCCTGGAGTCTCAAAGTACCTCGGAAAATGGGTACGGGCGCAAGTACCTGCGTTTATGGGGTCATGTCCCATTTTCTAAGGTACTTTGGAGTCCAGGTACACAGAAAAAATCAGAGAATCTTTCATCCATCCAATACGTGACCACACCACGCGCGTGTTTTTCTCTTAGAAAGTCTCCATCTCAGACTCTTCTGTCCATGGTGTTCACTCACTTGTGAGGCATCCGAGGCACTTGCGGGTTCTGTCCATGGCTTGAACGGTCGTTGGAACGACGCTTTTTCGCTTGGAAAACGCTCAGCGCAGCTGTGACGAAGGAAGCGCTCGATCCACTAGGCGGTGTTACCACCGGAAGGCCCTCGATCCACTGAGACTGATACCAAACATAACGCCCTAGGCTTCCTGGCCCACCATGTATTTATATAATAGGCTGAATCAACTCATGAGTTTACATACAAAAAACCAGGTCAAGCATGTTTGTTCAGGGTCGAACGGAAGTCTAGGGTCACAGGAAATTCCCTTGATTCCCCTAGCCAGGAAGTACGCGGATCACCTACATGTCACCTGTTGGGATTGAGATAAACCACCTAACTCTGAGATAAACAAAAACTCGTTCGAGGATTTTTCCAGGGATCTCCGGCTCTGGAGCCAGATTCCATACAGGATGTTGTTCATCCAGAATTATCATGTGTTCTTTTCTTTGGAGTACAACAGCTTAATTTGCAAGCCACAGTTGGTTGACTTACCAGCTTTTGGGCCTGCAAAGCTTGCAGTGCGTCATCTACGAGTCATCTATACGTTCCCAAAAGCTTCTATACTAGGAACAAGAAGCTACTAGGGGCTCCTGGCCGTACTACTAGGAACAAGAAGCTACTAGTAACGGGCATCGCTACTAGTAACAAGGACGCTACCAAAATAACATTGAGGTCGGCTTTCCACCCTTTTCCACAAGATCCAGGCCCTTGAGACCTTCTCAGGTTTGGTATACGGCTGTTTTTCTTCAGTTCGCCTTGCCGATGATGGAAGTGTAGTGAACACCCCCAGTGAACGGTAAAGGAAAGTCCTGTTCCTTTTCGGAACCATGTTGATTCCCGTACGACATGATCTGTTCGCAAAAAATGGTGTCTCCACACCTATCTGACCGTGGATCCGTGGATGGATCCATCTTCCAAAGGGCCAGAAATGCATGAAGACTGAGGATCGCTACTTTTTTAGACAAAGTGGAGCCCTTGATTCTCAGCGTGGAGAATGACCAGCTGAGACGCCTCCTCCAAGGCCGGAGGAGATTCGAGCGGAGACGCCTCCTCTGGCGATTGAGGCATGGGATGAGAGGGTTTCTTAGACCGGATCTAGTGGATCCTCAGAAGGTACTTGAACACCTACTAGCGATGGCCTCCAACCTAATAGGTGTGGGTACCTTCTCCAGACGTTCCACGGCTCCACCTCCTCAGGTTCGATACGGCTGGGCCCTCGTAGCCTAGCTACATAAACGGTCTCCTTCTTCACCGTAACTCAGGTGAATGAGGATATAATATATATATATGTGGGCTTCATATACCTGGACCTTCCAAGGGGTGTCCAATGGACTACCCCACACTACCTATAGGCTTCCATTGGGCACCCCTTAGAGGGTCCTGGTATATATATATATTATCAGTTCTGTCTCCCTCAGAAGGTATGTGGATCCAAAGGGCTTCATTCGCTTCTTCGATGAACTTCGATGGACTGTTTGGGGGTTTATCGCCCTGCGCATGGACGCCAGAGGAAGACTGGTCAGATGGATGATCCCCTAGCGACAGCATGAACAAGCACGGGGCAAGCATCCCACTCGGAGCAAGCATTGGTCTTTTCCACTCGGAGCAACCATTGGTGGTCACAGATCGATGTGTGGGAGAAGGCCTGATCGAAGGAATGGATCGAACCAGAGGCAGCTTCGGAATGAACACGTCAGCTGCAATGTGACATGTGTGATGAGGGACACACGTCAGACAGCATGGGAAAAGCCGGAAGCGGTCCACAATGGTTTGATACCATGTTGGGCGAGCTCGGGCAGGGTCAGTGTGTGTAGGGATTGTGTCTCATTACCAGTCACTGTGAGTGAAACATGATCACTATTTCTTGAGGATGCCGGCCTGCAATCCTAACCATCATCATCCACTGTCAAAATTGCTGGTCATGGAATGTAATATGGAAGATACCCAATCTGAATGATGTGCCTTCCTTTGAAAGGTGGCTTGTGCTTCTTAAGTTTGGGATTCGTGGGGGTCGTCTTCAAGGTTGATGGGATGCTCTTTATGTCTTTCAGTTGGTTTGTTGCTTTGGTCTTAGGTACTTTGGAGGGTCCAGGCACCGGTTCTATCCTCAGGTCGTGCCACGTCATGCCCCAGGCTTCTAAGGTACCAACGACGCCGTTTCGTCGCACTTTCCGCATGGGAGTGGTTGTGTCCCACCGTTTCGTGCACTGGAACACGAGGTGTGATGAGTACTGGGGCCGCTTGGCGGTGTGACGGTGGTTCCGGATTGGTCCCCTCGCGCAGTCGAACGAAATTGAAACCTGAAAAGCCCTGCGAGTGGTCGATGTTTGAAGAGAAAGTAGTATCCCCGTTGGGTGCTATCCATTTACAGGGATTCAGGGTGCCCCTGTCACATCCACATCCAGCCCTCCACTCACTCAAAGTGACACTTTTCACATTATCCAGCCCTCCATGGTGACCCCTCAAATGACCCTTAAAGCACAGGACTCCAGAGGACCCTAAAAGGGACTGCGTCGCGTTATGGACTGCGTCACGTTGTGACGTTGCGGAGGCTGGTTGGGCAGTCGCTGATGGTTGGGCGGTCGCTGGTGGTCGCTCTTAAGGTGTTGAAGATGTTCATGAGCTTCCTGCCAACGCTCTTCATGGCCATCATCCACAATGTTCTCACCCTTAAGGCCTGGATATGCGAGCAAAAAAAGCGCGCACGCGCGCCTGCTTGCGGTAGATCAATGGCCTGGAGCTTCCGATGTTTGCAGCTCCAGTCACGTCCACCGGGGAAAACACAGATCGAGCAGGTTTTCTCCCCAAAAAGCTGCCAGGTATTAGCCTCACAGGTGAAAGCAGGTTGCGTAGTATACACTGATCCTTCATTGTTGAGGATTTCTTGGTGAGAGGCTTAGGTTGTTCTGCAAGCATTATATATATATATAAGTTACATATAATATTTCTTATAATGCTAATAACATAATACATTAAATATACAAGTCCACTCTGACAAATCCGGTTCCTTGATTTCACAATGTTTCTGTACGACCAGATCCAGTCAAATGTGATTCTTCACAATATGTTTTGCAAGGAGTCCTGTTGGTCGTTTGGTTCTTTACACTTGGCGCTCGGACGCGATGGTTGAACTCTTGCACCGACGCACCGACTCCCGATTTTTCCAAACGGGTGCTTCACACAAATCGAGGGTTCCACGGAGTTTTCACCCTCCATCCGTCTCGCGTTTTGGGGAATTCCATGGATGAAACCGCTGGACGACCGAACGAAGACGCGCCGGGGAGTCTTCCTGCCGGGTCGCGGCCGCCCATGGAGGCCGGGGCGTGGGCGCAACTGAAGCTCCAGGAGCTTGGGACAACGACTCGGCTTCGGAGTCCTAGCGAGGACTCATGGGACCTACATGACATGATCCCATGAAAATAACGACGTCTGGGTGTTTTGAGGTAGGAACTTTTTGATTGCCATTATTGGATGGCCCAAAAATGGACGGTTGTCAAACAAAAAGGTTGTGCGTCAGAAAAAGAGGAATCCCCGGAATCCCCCTAGGAATCCCCTATAGATGAGTCTCACGTACGTACACTTCACAGGCCAGGAACCTGGCTGCCATCTTACACTTTTTGAGCTTTCGCATGCAGTGTTTGCTCATCGTTTGCCTTTTTTAAGTGCTTCATGGTTTCCCAACGCTTTCAATGAAAAAACATGTAAGCCTAAAGAGACCGCAGTGAAAACATTGAAGGACATGTGACTTACACTCTGACTCACCAACGTGGAAGAGGAGATGCCCTGTTAGAGGAAAGTAGTCTTTCAAGGGACCATTGTCTACTTCCATGTTAGTGAGTTGGGGTGTAGCTTTTTTGGTTCAGTTTTTGTTTGACGTCGGTATCGATCCTCCTTTTCGAAAAGGGCAAAGCTTTACTTACGGTTGGCTGTTTTGGTCATAACGCGTGTATCAATCTAAACCTGGACCCTCCAAAGTACCTTAGAACATGGGACATCACCCTATAAAAGCAGGCACTTGTGCGGTAGCTTTGAAAGCTCGTCCATGGTAACACCGAGGTTCAGGTACCTGCCTGAGTCTGCAGGAAACCGATCCAAGATCGCCGTCACCGACAGGTCTCGGTCTTCCCCAGCCTTAGACCACTTGGACCCCGGGGGACCGTGACCTTTGGACCTGGATTTATCCAGGACTGGTTCTTTGCATTCCAAATGGTCTTTGTTCTCCTGGTCACCACGATTGTGGGCACCATTCTGAACGTGTTGCTGGGCGAACTGAGCGTGGCTAAGGGAGTTGCACCTGGGACCCGACTTCGGGACATGCCCCGAAGCAGAAACAGAGGACTCCATTCAGTTTCAAGCACAGATCATATAGAATCAATTTGAGGTATACCTTTCGACTGCGTCACGTTTTGCTTCACCGGGTCATGCAGATCTTAATCACCAGGAACTTTGAATGAACAGTTGAACAACGCTCGTGCGTTGTGGTGACATGCCTAGTCCTGCGCTTGGCAGAGGTAGCCGTGCCCACCTGATTTCACCGTGGTTCTGAACTGAATATTCAAGTGCCACGGACGGCTGCTTATTGCCAGTGATACATAAGTGCCTAGTATGGCTGAGCGGCTCCAAGCTTCCCATGCACTTTATGAACTATACTTCACATGTTTTGTCCTTGGATTGGAATGTGCCAACCTCAATCATACCTTATCATCACGTGATCTAGACATACTCCACAAGCATCTATGTTATATAACACACATGCCACAACTCCTTTTGCACAGTCCTTTGCACGACTGTGTTCACACATGTTGTTCACGAAGTATATATATATATATATACCTGTTCCTTCTTTGACCCCTGTATTGATAGGGAAAGACCATATTTGGGGTGGTTGATAATCCAAAATAGAGGTCACCCAGGCTCTACACTCTATAGTATAGGTATATATATAATATATATATATATGGTATATATATATATTGATTATATATGTATACATATATAATGATAAAGCCAATCTGAGGTTGGAGAAGATCTTGGCACATCCAGGGGAGGCCATCGTCGGCTGGGATGGAGCGAGCACCGATTGCACACGACGACAACCAGGTCAACCTGTTTTGTGGTCTTTGAAGGCTAGGGTTCAGTAAAATGGCTGGGTTTGAGACTGTGTACTTTGGGCGCATGGAAATTGGCATTGTCCCAAACGTTTGGGTGCATTGAGGGTCAGGTCATATGGATTCATCTGGTGTTTCTAGGGGAGGAAAAACCCAGAACCATCTTGACCGTGGGAGTTTGGCGCTGAGTTTGGCGTTGCAACCCTCAGAAGATCATTCACCCAGACACTCCATGTATGGCATATTTACATGTACGTTGGGATGGGTTTCAAGGCTCGGTGGTACATCTGCCAGTCCCATTTGTCGTGTTTGCATGGGTTAATGGTCAAGGAGCTGGTCAACCTGTAACGAAACGGGTGAAATCAAGAGCAAGACACCCAGGAGTTTCATGGAGTTGGGTGCTATCTATGGAGGGAGTCGGGGTGCCCGAACGTCACATGAACTCACTGGCTGGGACTTTGATCATTCTCCCAACTCCATGTGACCCCTGGGCCATGTTCTTGTACACAAACGCGCAGATGTTCTGCCTGCCACGCATACGTACCATACCTACGGGGTGCGCCCCGGCATAGTTGGTTTGTTTGCACGAGTTGTGGGAAGAGATACGAGATATACATTCTAACATGGAAGTGGATGGCATGGCCTCTTGGAAGACGAATTCCTTTACAAACAGGTTTTCCACTTGAATGCACCGGGGAGACCGCTTGGCCACCGAGTGCACAACGTCGTCCGCCCCAAACGGGTTTGGGGCTCGTACGGCCGGCCATGACGTGTGATCCAGTGTTCCAGACCTCGCAAGAGAAAAGCCGTCTTCTTTTGTGGTCAGGGTGATCATTGGCACATGGACTGCAGGATCACTACGGGATCGCAGGTCCTGCGAAGTTTGTACGATTGTTTGTACGGAAGTACGTGGATCACGACCTGCGTCGTGTCACCACCTTGTTGGTAGGATTTGAGACACCCCACGAAACGTGCTTTTCCGAAGCCCCACGAACATGCCCAGGAAGTACGTGGATAACCTATTAAAGCCTATTGAGAAGACCCCACTGAAATCCCACAGGAAAGTTCGACTAGCGATGGCCTCCGTCCAAAGGAGTTCTTTTGTTCTTTTCTGGAGTCAGAATCCAAAGGCTGTACTTTCAGCCCAAAAGCGCCCCACTCGTGGCTTGAACGACGTGGACGTGCTTCCGACTCGTCCAGGTGGTCTACATTTTAGCGGATGCTTTACCTGGCTTCTCCGAGTCTTAGCTTGCCTGAAACCCATCCCGGCAACGCCATGTCCACCCTGAACTGCCCGACCCTCAACCCGAACCTATGCAGGGGTCGGACCCGAATCCTCGGGTCAGGGGTCTGGACCCGAACCAATCCCTATGGTTTGGTTCGGGACCAGTCGGGCGTCGTTCACGGAGCGTCTGGGTGGAACCTTTTTGGCACATGACGTCATGAGGTTTGCACTGCTAGGAACCAATGGGGGTTCCAAACCTTGGTTTAGGGTGTGTTTATAGGTGGACTATGGTGGACTTGGTTCTCTTTTCCGCTTGTTTCTAAGAGTTTGCTTAAAAATTGTTGACCGGAACAAAGGGTTATTTGATCGCAATGTTTCGCCCAAGGATTTCTACATCAACTACATCCTGTTGAGCTGCTTCCTGCAGGTGTCAGACTCCGACTCGCTGCTGACAGGGCTTGAGTTGCTGACAGTGCACATTGGACATTGAAGATCAGGTACTCCAGGATAGGCAGTGACTGCAGGTTTCTCCTCGTTTCGGTTTCTCCTCGGTTTCTCTGTATGGTCGGTCCGAAGCTGAGATGCCGCAGCATCTCGAAATAACAACATAATACAACATATAAAGGACAGGAGAACGGGGCATTCCGGCCACGTGGTGTAGAGCGTTCGTTCAGATTTTGTTCGTCGACTCCGAATCCGAAGATGTGGAAATCAGCCAAAGAGAATTTATTCTAGTGAGGCTTTCGGATTGGTTCATATGTATATATATATATGTAAAATGGTGAGCGGAGGATCAACAGCAACTTGTAAAGGCAACTGTCACAACTCAACCAACGGGGATCAAAGAACTCCGTCACGATCAAAAGCAAGCGGTACGCTCACTTTTCCATTGCGCAACCGTCGGGGGCTCGGATGAGCCAGACTCAAGGGCCCTTGTGCCAAAATGGTCACATGAGAGGGCCGCCATCTCATATCATGATATGCATGTTCCAATGCATACAAATTCACACGCCCTCATGGCGGTGCGAAGATGGGACCATGCTGTCAGCGACACTATTCAGTCACGCAGCTCTCGGCTGAATCCGTACTTCTCAGCAAGACCTTCAAAATCAGGCTTCTTCCACTTCACCTTTTCAAGGTACATGGCAAAGTCCACGGCCTTGGTAATCTTGGATGGCACTTTTCCACCAGTACCATACTTTGACAAAATGAACTGGAGGTACTGACGCATGTCTTCTCCTTTCTTCGAATTCGTGCGGGCCGTCATGATCATTTGATCATACGTGAGGCTTTCAGCCTTCACCTTATCCATACGACAGATGGTCTGTCCCCATTTCTCTACGGTGCTGATTCCTTCAGGCAAGGGAATCAAGGGATCGGTCACATTGGCCACTGGGAACAAGTTCACCTTTCCAGCTTCATATCCCTTTGGGCTCACAGCAAGGTGCTCCGGTGTCATGGTTGAACCGGTAGGCTCATTGGCATTCAAGAGCTCCCACGGATTCGAGGCCTGAGAGGTCTCATCGGCATCCATGCGTCGCTTCGCAGCATCAGTCATGGCGGACATGGAGGCATCCACGATGACCTGAGCTCCCACAACATTTGGTCGGAGGTCTGGACGAATCTTCACCCAGTCGTTCACACGCTGGAGCAACTGTGCACTTTGTCCGAAACGGACAGCTCGATGGAGAAGGCCGGCACACATGCTAAGATCCTGATCCGTCAGTGGTGACCGGATGTGATATTCTTCATCATCGGTCTTTGCTGCTTTCGACATGATCCTGCGGGACTGAATGGGCGACACTTCACGGTCGTGCGCTCCTTGGAGCAAAAAGGCTGTGCAAAATTCGGTTTAACCGATGCGGCACCTCAGCAACGAACTGGTTCGAGGTGGCTGGCAATGGATGGTTTCTCAACCTAACTAACAAATTCTTTTTAAGTTTCACCAAGCAAATGTTGGATTCACTTCACAACATGCATGCCTGGGCCCTAGTGCTCATCTAGTTGACGTTTCTCTGCTTCTGCAGCTCTAGCCTTGGCTTTTTCTTTCTTACCTGACTCTACTCCGGTGTGGATGGTGTATTTCCAAGTGTCAACGAGTTTATAGAAAGGTCCTGTGTCGGCTCGTAGTTTAGTCAACACGTCTGCACACATGAAAATGTTACTAGTCCAAAAGACCATGATGTTCTGCAAGGACATGCTTTCCTTAGCGATGTCATAGTCGATCTGAAGTCTCTTCTCTACGCTAATAGTAGGAGAGCTACACGATTTTGTGACTGCATCGAAGAAACCCTTGCTTTCAACAACGAGGCATGCTGTCTTTTCTGGGACTCGTTCTCGGAATGTTCGAGGCGATTGGCCTTCTAGGATCTCAGCAAGCAGGGATTGAATCCACTCAATCGCATCAAGTCCATTCTGACCGGACATGGTTTCTGCTGCTACTGAGGAACGAACTACTCGTCGTAACTTCTTAGAACTCCAATCTACTATCCATACAGGGGATTCCTTGTTCTTCATGATGTCTTTGGTCGTAAGACATAGGATGTATCCACCTTGACTTTCACCGTTAGCTCTAGTACACCAGCCAGCATCAGCAATACACACGATGTGCCAATCTTTTACTGGAACGTGGCTAGGGAATTTCAAACAGATTTTTCTAGTTTTCATTTCCCTCACGGCTTTGTTGTACAAGTGGACGTGTTCAACTTTCTCCTTATCCTGAACCCCTTGAAGATACGAAGCCAGGAATGCCTGTTCCGGACGTGTCGAGTTCGACACCCAGGCTAACTGACCGGCGCAAGTTCTAAGGATAGAAGGATCTGTAAGGGACGTTGAAGCGTTTCCCAAGGTCTTCGTTTCAACATGTTCCAAATTCTCGATGTAATTTTCTTGTCCTACTTCAATTTCCATCGTATTTGGATTTTGTCGAATCTCTACTCCTGTATATCTTATTGTGAAAGTACGATAGTCACCGAACGGCAATTTCTTTCGGAGTCGGTCCAAGGCTTGGTCCATTTCCTTGCAACCTCCACCTAGTAGGTCATCTACGTGTACTCCACATATGCCTTTCAAAGTGTTATCGGACTTACTCCTCAACATAAACAAACATGGATCCAACTGGCTCTGGGTTAGCCCTGCTTCCTTAAGTTCCCTGGTCAGGCGGGAAAACCAAGCACGTGGTGCCTCAGCCAGGCCGTAGGCAGCCTTCTCAAGACGAAACAGGTCATCTGTACTCAAGTTCATCCATTGTTTGATTTCTGCTGGAGGTCGAAAGTAAATGTTTCTGCAAGATTCATCACCTGACAAAAACGCTGTTTTTATGTCGGCTCCCCATAGCTTCCACTTGGATGCTGAACAAATGGATAGAACAAGGTGCTTTGTTTCCTTACGCAAAGTTGGACTGTCTGTTGCTACCTTTCCTAGGTCCGGGTCCTGCCATCCTACCAAAACTAGACGTGCTTTCGGAGTTTTGGATGTGATATCAGGATCGGATGACTTTTTCCATACCAAGACCCACCTTGCTCTAATTATTCTTTCTGTAGGAATCCCTCTAGCCTTGCAAAGTGAAGTCACCTTATTGTCAATCCAGCTTTGCCATTCCTTTTGCATCGCTTGGAGAAACAGTTTCTTGTCGTGTGGATTGAGTTTGCGGAACTGGACTTCAACCCTTCTTTGCTTCGCCTTGGACTGCGGCGCAGCTTGCAAGCATTCTTCAAAAAGATTCCAGAGACACAGAGGATTCTCAGTGATGTCTTCGGGATGGACGTCAATGGAAAGTTCGAACACATGTTCTGCCTGTTGCAATCTGGCTGTTACCGCTAGTTCGTCTTCACCAGCTTCTGGAACGGGAACATCTATGCCAGATGGTTCGATCTCGTTCGATCGTGAGTCTACTTCAGGCATTACTTCATCGGTGTTATCGGGTCTATCGGATTCGGGCGGATTAGTGTCTGTCTCTGGTTCCAGGTGTGCAGGTACAGCACCTGGGTCAGGCATGAGCTCATCAAGCTCGTTGTGCATTTGAAAGCCTGACTGAGATCCCTCTTCTTCAAGAGGAACTGGCGGTTCGGTGGGTGCATAACTTGGAGATGAATCAATTTCAACAACCCTTCTACGTTTATCGGCTGGCTCAAGTCTATCCTCGGGGATCTCTTCAGGAGCAACAGCGGCAAATGGCTGCTGATTCAACTCTTGTTCATGCATACTGCCGAGAGGTGGAATCTCGCCTCGTGATCTCTTTTGCCAATATTCAGGGGAACGATAGAATCTACGTCTTATCTTATGTGGTCTACCCTCCGAATCAGGTCTGTCATCGATGGTCTCAGGATGAGGTTCGGCTTCTACATCTTCCTTGAGTTCGAAGTCCTCTGGACCAGGGATGTCCTTTGTGAGATCATGAAAACGAGCGACGCCCTCCGACAATGATTTACCTGCAGCTTCCGTTTCCGGTGCCAGCTGGCCTAATGCAAGTTCTCTTGCAAGCGCTCGAAACTCAGTTTCGTCTTCGGACATTGGACGGAGGCCTTCTGGTCGACATCTATAGAGATAGCCATTATAGCTTGTCCAAACTAGGCGTGGTATGGGACTATTTGATGAACTTTCTACCCCAATTACTTTGGCAGGTCCTAACCACTTACCATGTCTTGTGCTAAGCTGACCTCTTCCTGCTGCTCGAAACATGTATACAAGTTGACCTTGTACGTATGGTCCTCGCATGGGACGATGTCTATAGGCTACAGCTCTTCGCCAAACATCCTTCGCATGTTCTTCATGAAAGGCCTTGGCCGCTTCTTCACGAAGGCGAATCTTGGATGCAAACGATGGATCTGACAGGATTTGCGACTGGGCAGCAAAATTTCTTTGCTCATCCAAGTCGGCAAGCATTCCCACATGGCGTGAGTCCCTTCCCAAGAACCATTGTGCTGGGCTGAAACCATGCTGTCGAAGTTGTTCATTACGGGTTGTTGCACACATTTCTATTACCTCTTCTGGTGGACGGTCAGTGCCTGGCCAACAACGATTGGCCATGTTCCTGAGAATGCGATTGGCAATTTCAACTTGACCTAGCTGATAGTGTGCTTCGGCAGCCGCATGCAACAACTGAATGCCATGGTGTGTTAGGTACTCTTGGAAATCCTGGGAGAGATTAGTCTTGGCAGGGTCCATGAATATTATCTTAGGAGTGCCGTAGGGACGTGTCCACACCTTATGGAAAGCTACTGACAGCTGATTGGGACCGCGTTCAACGATGATCTGTTGTGCGAAACCTGTGGCCATATCAACACATGTCAACACGTTGAACTTGACTTCGGTCATTTTCCCATTACGTCCCTCTCTCTTGAGTTCTACTTGAACAAAATCAATACCCACTATGTCATTCGGGTTCTCTGCATGGGGGATTGCACTCTTACGATATGACGGTGGAGG